AAAATATTGTCTCTTATTTAAACTTTTACATGGATGATATTTGAAATGATAAAGATCAAAATGCTTTCTTAAAGATGTCATAGCTGACGTTTGCAAGTGTTGTAGGAATGCTCGCTGTTAGCTGGGTTATTTGGGTAACAGATTAAAAAGGGTTTGTCTTATGAAAGATTCCTACAGCGGTGTATGTCCTGAAAACATTTTTCTTTTTTCTCTCAATAATGATAAAGCCTGCTGTGTGGCACAGACCAGCCAAGACATTTGCAGTTCATTCTTAATGGCCAAGGTTCTAATATTTGATTCATCTGTTAGGAACCTTTAAACAGCCGGTTCCTGTGTTTGTGTTTTGCCCTTATACAACCAAGCTTGGTTATGTGATCATTTCACCCTCTGCTTTGGCAGCGGCCAGCGCTCTAATGGTGAGGCTTTACAATGCAGTCCCCAGAAATAATGTTTAATGTCACATTGGTGTCTTTTGTGTGCAATTTATGGTGCAGACACAGGGAACACCATTAATGCAGATACCCACTGCAGCTGCATTAATCCAGTATGAACAATGGTCAGAAACCTAAGGCTCCAGAGCTGCATGTGGTCTCCATCTCTGCTGGCTCCCTGTGGCTTTGAGAAAGAAAAAAACCCCACATGAATATGAATATATTTTTTTTAACATTCCAGTTTTTATTTATGATTTCTATAAGTGATTCTTTATGTTCTACAGTTGTATAAATGTGTATCATATGCACCAAATGAAAGTGGCTGGCATAAATGAATGCACACAAATGTCTAGTCCTGAGCTTTAGACTCCAAATCCCCCCCAAAAATGACAGGAAAACTGAGAATGCAACAGGACCTGAGCACATTTATTTGCCTTTTACTGTTGTGATGGCTGAAGTTAAAGCCACACATATTGGGTAACATCTATCAACAACAGACTCATACATAACACTACACATAGTTGTTTTTCCTTTAAATATAGGGTTTAATTTACAGGGTAAAAAAGAATTGGTTTTGGTTTAGTGTATTCTAAAATAAGTGTGCACATTTTAATTTATAGTGTTATGTGTATGATTTAGTCTCCCAGCGGCGGTTGCTCCCAGCCCTTTGAGCTAAGAGGTGGAAAAGGGGCGGAGCAAGCTTATATGGAGACCTGCAAATTGGGTCATACCACAACTCTGGATCATTGGGGGGGGATGGAATTTGTTATGTTGGTTTTAGTGAGGTTTTAGTGAGTTGTACCCCTTTTTGTGTCCTTGTGGGCTGATCAGCTACTATTTAAGTTTTCCCTTTGTTTCATTTCGGTAGGTCCGATTGTTTGAGTTACTAGTATGGGGCACGCTGGTTTTTGAGTTATGTGTTTTTGTATAATTGAACCAAGTTTTTTTTAACGGGGTAAATAAATAAGGTAACAAACCTTTTTCGGACTTTAACCTGTGCCTGACTTTCCTCAGTCCATCACTACTGTCAATGCTGCTGGCTTACTGATATACTAGATCTGCAGCTGGACTTTAATCAAACTCATATTGAAATTGTCAAGAGCTATTAAGCTGCTATGTGTTTTAAATATTCCCAGAGTGGTGTATTTTAAATTTGATTCATATACACAAACACAGCTAGGACCTGCGCAGCCTTATAGATACACAGAGATGCTAAACATGCTGATATGAGTATGAATATTTTCTTTTTCTTTTCGTTTGTTTGTTTGTTTGTTTCAAATGCAAAGTTATGGAGTCAAAGTTGAAAGTTAAAACTTCCATATTTTAGGCTTTTATTTAATCGAGTCTCTTTGTTTCTAAAAAAATGAAGTTTTAAAAAAAAGAACAACAAAAAAAGAACAACAAAAGCAAAACACAACATCAAGGATATGAAGACCTAAAACTTTCTGAAGTTTGCAATTAGCATTTTGAATAGGAATCACTGATTAACCTGACATGTACCTCTTCGAACTGTGGTAAGAGGCTGGAGCCCACATTAAATGTAATTACTGAGGGCAGAGCACCATCTTGTGGTCAGATCACTCACAGTGCAGCTAAAACGATATTATACATCAGGTGTGTCCAACAGGAAGCCAGGATCCACTCCGGCTCACTGGATGGATTT